AGATCCAAACGAGAGAGAGATGGACCCAGATCGAAAACGAGCGTTGAATGTATGAGTACGAGCTCTATCAACAATACTACCATGGTTTTCAAGGTAGGCAGCAGACACCATTGAACCCAGCATCCCCTGAATTCCAGCCGCGAGGATATCATGTGTGCCGTGAGCCTCGGCCTCCAGTAAGTTGTCAGCAATGGGAATTCTATGATGGCCAAGAAGGTTCGGAAGGCACTTACGAACCAGCTGCTGAGAAGGCTTCCTCATACCCTTCGGACCTTGCAGCACAACGCTCGTCAAGCCAGGAGGATGTACCAGGCGAACTAGAAACAACCACTTATCCATCTTTGCACCGCGAAATCCGTAGCATTTCATTGATACACCGATCCTCATCTTTGAACAATGCCGCGGAGCAGCTAGGAGTCTTGTCAACCAACACCACCACCGCCACTTTGGTTCCCAAAGTCAAACAACTTAGTCTTCCGGGCCTCCCCGATCTCCTGATACCGGATCTGAATGCTTGGACGCTTACGCCGGAGGGAAAGGACGTTCGAGGCCTTTTCAAGGATGAAGATCAGGTGGAGAATGCTTGGGGCAGGAAAGTATAAGTGAGAAGAGAGTATTCGGAATGGAGCATGGAATACATTTGAGTCTGATCACGTATTTACAAGGAGATTGCCCTGTGAAGTTTGGAAATCTGGGACGTTGTACAGTGAACCTTGGATAAGGGTGACGAATTTCTAGTCAGAATGACATTACTTTCCCTACTGGAACTCCCCAAATTCTCCATCGTCAAATCCCATATCCTCTATTGATGCCCGCGGTGCCGGTTCAAACGTCTGACTTAACCTTTTCTGTGTCTTGATCTCTTGTGCACTCGGCGGTGGAGGCAAGAAAGATCCTCCCCCGGGTGGGGGCGGTAGCGAGAATCCGCTCAGTCCTTTGCTACTGTGGTGTTCATCGTTCTGCAAATGCCTCCGGCCCATACCCCGTCCGCCAATATTAACAGTAATCGTCTCGCCCTCTTTCAAACTAAAATCCTTCTTTTCCGGCGGCTTGTCCTCCTTCAACGCTTTCTTCCCACCAGCTTTCCCGTTATCCTCGATCCCCAACGTCTTCCTAACCTCCTGCAACGCAACACTGAAATCAAAGGCCTCACTCCGCTCCTCGAACCCAATCCCCAAGACTGCCTTCCTTCCCCCCTCTCCTTGCACCCTCACCGCAAAAAACCGACTAGAGTCCAACACCTGCTCGACCACCGAGCTCACCGTATATGGCGCCGCTGCAAACAGCTGTCCATTCTTCGGGTCCTCTAACAAAATATCTGTTTTTATGGTCTCACCGCTTGAGGGGGGCGGCTTGGGAACAGCGGTTTCGAGGATTCGTAGGCGTGCGGTGAAGATTTGGCGCTTGTTGTTGTCGGCGGTCCAGTTGGCGGCTACGTAGCCTTTTGTGCTGGCGAGAGGAGGGATATTATAGACGTGAACAGAGTTGGCGATGAAGAGGATGCGTTGGATGGCGTCGCTGGGGAGGGGCTTGCCCGTGGCGGGGTCGATGGTCTCCATAAGTGAGACGTGGGGTGTTTCTATCGGGACAACGAGGGTTGGGTTATGCCAAAACAGTGGGCGTGGGCATCGTGGGACGGGTGGAGATGGTGAGAGGCGCAACAGAGAGTTTGGCAGAGACGATATTCAGATGCTGTGCTGGAGCTGTGGGGGGAATTTCCATCAAAGCTGTCCCGTCTGCATGTTGAGCATGCTCGATGCACCAGAATTTCAGGGACTTGTTCTTGTTTCGCTTCGCTGAGCCTATCGCTATCGTACTGCAGGGGACGGGTTGACGGGGCCGGGGCCTCTGACGTTCCATAACGAGTAACGAAGTAAGGTAGTTCTGAACTGCCGTAAATGCACGTGAATTCCACCAAAACCCTGCAGGCGGTCCCGCGCCCTGGTGATTGCACTGATGGGCATTGCAAGACATATACTTCCTCTCCGGAGCTCATTCCTCTCATTGCTTCACTTTACCCCAAAAGCAGTGTTTGCCAAGAATCCGTGACAATGGAAGGCACAGAAGATCAAAGTAAGCTTCCCTCTACCAAGCTGGTGAAGCTACCGGTAGTACAGTACCTATACTTCAAAGTTCCACCCAGCCCTCTAGTGCGCCGCCGTCGCTACCACTCACTGACGCGAAAAACCAGCAACCTCACAACCTTTTGAGGGCAGCACAACACCACCTCCTCTTACTGGCCATCCCCCAGCGCTAGAAAGAATGGCTTCCCTGGGAAATATTCCTCAAAATGAGAAATCAAAGTCCTTCGAGTAAGCTACCAGCTTCAATTCTTCTGTCTATATGGATGTTGACTCATCCGTCCAAAGTATCGTGGAAACATATCATCGTCTCCTGAATGAAGACCCCGACCTGACAATGCCTGTCGCGGCTATCGAAGCCTTGATCGAACTCCTCGTGCAATCCCGCGCCGTTACTGTCTATGAAACCCTCGACCTGGTCAAGACCCAGTCCGACTACCTCAAGTCCCGAATTCCCAACTCCATATCCCTTTCCGCGGGAACAGACTTGTTCCAGCGATACATGATTAGCTCATTGAAGCCGAGCAGCACGGGAAATTTTGAGACTGTGAGACAGCATTTATTGAGTAATGGCAGACTGTTTGTGAGTAGGGCGAAGGCAGGGAGGGAGAGGATTGCAGCGTACGGGAGGCACTTTGTACGGGACGGTAGTGTGGTTCTTACTCACGGAGGAAGCAGAGTAGTGGGCGCGCTGCTAGGGAAGGCGGCAGAGGCGAGCAAGAGCGGTGGGAATGTCAGGTTCAAGGTGATATATGTCATAAACGATGCGAGGAGTTCGGAGAGCAAGGCAGTTGTTTTTGCATTAAGAGCAAAGGGCGTACCGGTTGCGACGATCAGTGAGGGTGCTGTAGGATATGCTATGGGAAAGGTCAATTTGGTCATCGTTGGTGCCGAAGGGGTCGTGGAAAATGGAGGCATTATCTCGAGATTGGGCACATATCAGATCGCTTTGCTGGCGAAAGCTGCGGGAAAGCCTTTTTATGTTGCCGCCGAGAGTCACAAATTTGTTCGACTTTACCCGTTGGGACAATACGATCTTGGCATTGATCAGGAGGTCATTGAATTCAAGACGGAAGATGAAGACGATTTGAGCCCGGAGGAAAGGAAGTTCGCAGAACGGACACCAACGATTGAGGAGAGGAAAGAGTATTTTGATACTGGTATCGACTTGCCGAAGCCAAATACTGCTGTAGATGCTGTTGACTTCACGGTAAGGATATTTTCGTCGGAATAGAACGTAAGCTAACTATAAACAGCCTCCAGCACTAGTTTTAGCACTCATTACCGAGTCGGGAGTGTTGACTCCTAGTGCTGTTAGCGAAGAGCTCATTAGTGTGTGGTGGTGAAAGAGCTAATCGCATGATGCGAGTGTAACAAGTTGGTGGGTTTTCAAGCAAGGACTTGACGCCCTGTATCCTTGGCAGGAGGAAGTGGCCAGATCTAGTCTATGCCCCAAAGATGAACGGGAAGGAAAGCCCCAAACGTACCGTAATCTAAACACGGGCATCTGTCCGGGATAGAGGAGTGTGAGGAGGGCATTATAGTATAGCCAGAAGAGAGCGTGGCAAATGAATATTGCAGAGTAGCAAGAGCGACTTGAAAATACACGGCTCTTCAAATATCCTCTCAGTAGCTCCACATTCTTGCTCGGGTTTCTAGGCTTCTGTCACCGCATTAGCAACAATAACGTCCTTGCCCAAGATTTCTCGGCCACCATTGTACAAAATGTGAATTTCAGGTCGAGAGCTTGAAATTCGATAGATGACTGCCTCGTTGTCAAAACACTCTGAAATTGTGGGAGTTCCCCATTCCGACTTCGTTTTATTTTGAGTCTTTGGTTCGTACTCAGCCGCCTGTCTGCTTGTCTCGGACACATGGAACAATTGTGCCACTGCAGGAATGGAAATTGCATCCTGGGGTCTCCGAGCTCTGGCTGCGCTGTACAGCCACCTAGAACGCACACCTACAAGCGCCATGTGGCAAGCAGCACTTTAGCATGTATACCATTATGCGGACTACTACCTTAGTTCAGAACATTGCCAAAACAATGCCTCACCCTTGCAGTACCTGTCTTCGTCATCGGTCATAACCCTAAGTTTCCTCTTATACCGATTTTCAGCTGTTGGTAGCAGGTTAGACCATGTCGCTCAAACTCTTTCTCGTTGCCCTCAACTTATCTTACTGGTAGAGCCCAGAATCTAGTCATGTCATGTGATATCTGATCTCATAATTCTATCGTCATTCCCGCACTTCTTTGCTCCTCCTTGGCCATCTGCCAATCCCTTGTTCTGATGGTTGCACTTCTTCCCGAACTCCTCTGCCACTCGACTTGCCCTTCATCTTGTTGCCCTGAGTACCCTTAATTAGGCTGAATCTGTAATGATCTGGATGGGGTATCTTCTCGAGAACTTGAAGCTGGTGATGAACATGATTGATGAATCGGCATGCCCGAGCCGAAGAAATCTCGTTCGTGCCCGCGAATGTGCTATCTTAGTCCACCTTATTTTCGGAAATGCAGAAATCCGGCCAGCACCTTCTCAACATCTGTAGCGGGTATGATGCCATCCTCTTGTCACTGGAAATGAGCTCGTTTATTTTAAGCGGATTTTCGCTTCCCCTATTCGCTTATGTGTTAGTGAGTTCCCCGTGACACCCGCTCATTCGAGTCTGCTCTCAAACATAAAGACCCAGAGTATTACTAGAAAACTAGAGATAAGTCCGCGCACAACAGGGAGCCCAAGAAGTCCTTCTTATCCTGACTGAATGAGGAGTGTCACGTGAGCGTAGCTCTTTTTAGACGAGCCTGCGGCCGCTTTTGGGTTTGGGTGGTATGATTTGAAATAAGCGATTCTCTGAAAATGCTATCGATGTTTAGCCAAAATTCAAGCCAAACTTGAATTTGAAAGACTCTAATACAAAGGGTGCTTGGCGCAATGGTAGCGCGCGGTCCTCCTACTGCTGCAAAGCTGTAAGACTGAGGTTGAGGGTTCGAGTCCCTTGGTGCTCGTATCATTACTTTTGAGGTTATTGTGGTTTTTTTTTGGCCTCCCAGCGGTCCCATGTCGCGTGACCTCGAGAAGGATTTGGCCTTGGGCAGATTGTGTCATTTTTTGGGGCTCCCTTTCTTGGTGCTTGATTAAGCGAGGTCAAGCGATACGTATGTGAATAACCAAACCCTAGCACAAGCTACTTGTTGCAACACACTAATACCTACTGAAAAACTATGAACATGGGAAATCAGAGAATTTGTGCCTGTAACTTTTCATATATCCAAAACCCACGTTGATGAACGCCCAAGGACCATTCGCTCCTTCAATTTTTCCCGGCAAAGCTATCTGAAGCGACCGGGAATTCGGGTTGGGATAAAACCTTATCAAAGGCCTGTTCCCTTTCGGAACCTTTTCTCACTTCCTCTCCTTTACATGCCCATAATGGCCTTCTCAATGCACAGCCACTCTGGCCAATTCTGCCCTGGCCACGCACAAAATAGACTTGAGGAAATAATTGATACGGCCATTTCTCGCGGAATGAAGACCTTCGCCTTAACCGAGCACATGCCCCGTGACTCAGACAATGACTTGTATCCCGAAGAAGTACGTCTCCTTCCGACTATAATGCTTCTCACTAACACTGAATCAGACATCAATCTTGCCACTTCGACCTCGCCATGAAGCTTTCCTGGTCGAGGCAGTAAAATTGCGAGAGAAGTACGCAGGAAAAATAAAAATCCTGATCGGATTCGAAGGAGAGTGGATCCGTCCTTCCTACGCCGTACTTGTGAAAGAGTTGGCCTCAAACCCGGTCGTTGATTACTACATCGGCTCCGTTCATCATGTACACGGCATTCCTATCGACTACGACATTACCTTCTACCAGAAAGTAAAGGAGGTAGCAGGAGGTAGCGATGAGCTGCTTTTTGAGGATTACTTCGATGCGCAGTTTGAGATGTTGAAAGCATTGAAACCAAAAGTTGTGGGTCATTTGGATCTAATACGACTGCTGAGTGATGAACCGAATCGAGATTTGAGGGAGATGAAGGGGGTTTGGGAGAAGGTGGTGAGGAATTTGAAGGTAATTGTTGAGCAGAAGGGGTTGGTAGAGATCAACACCAGCGCTTTGAGAAAAGGTTTGAAGGAGCCATATCCGACAAGAAGTGTTTGCGAGGAATTTCTGCGCATGGGAGGCATGTTGACATTGAGTGATGATAGTCACGGGATTGCCCATGTAGGGACGAATTATGGGAAAGGCATTGAGTATCTGGAAACGCTAGGAGTGAAGGAGCTGTACACGTTAGAGGGGAAGAGCACAAATATGGAATGCCAGGTCAAGGTGCAGAGTGTCACTTTGGCAAGTGTGAAAGAGAGTTTTAAAATATAGACTTAGACATATTTAGACTTAAACCACGAATTGCCTGCAGTGGCTGTGTCGTTCTCCTTCCCTGCACTTCCGACAACAACAATTGATCTGCCCATGTTCACTCTCTCTGCTTTAACAATATGAATCTTAATAGCGTTATTGTTGTTCGAATCTTTAAGGCAGAGTCATCTGCCTCCTAATTGACGGTAATATTTACAGTATTGTCCGCACTTTTTGCAATATATATCTCGATTGGATTGTTTACACTTTTTGTCAGGTTGCTTCCCTTGACATCTCCACCAAAGTAAATTTACGTTCACCTGATCATTCTTCTCTGAGAATGAAAGTTTGAGGTTAAATTGAATGTGGCCAACTTGCTCATCTTGGACGTATTTTTCGCCCTAGGCACACGTTGCTCAGCAAGGTCGCTGTATCCAGGAGGTTCGCAACGTGCAACAATGGCCTCTCCAGATCTCATACTGTCGTCCCAGCGGTATCCATTTTTAGTCTGGCGTGCTCTGAACTTCCTGTATCGAGCAATATTCTCACTCTTTTCTTTTCCTCCTCGGGCAAGAGGCTTCTGCACTTTTTCTCTTCTGATTGGCAGTCAAATTGTCCCATGGTTCTTGGTGTTCCAACCGCCTGTGTTGCGTCCAGTGGAATTCAGCATGTTCTTATCTCCGAACGAGTAAAATTCTGCGGTGTGTTTTGAAATTGTCGCCCATGGCGACATTTGCACCATTTGCATTTTTCATAACCTCGAATTTGCCGTTGGCATATTCTGGGTGTTATTAACGGTGAGATTTGAGATTGAGCTCTTGATCTCCATGGAGATGCTATAGCAGGGTTCATGGACATGAATTGCATCATCGTGGATTCGAATCCGATGATAGGGAGTTTCGATGTGCTCGACAATAAAGGGATGAGCAAAGGCCAAAAGCGGCAAAGCCAGAATGAGGTATATATGAAGCTTCATTTGGATAGGATCTAAGTTCGCGAACTCAGTTCTGCTTGTGAATTCTTAAATATGTACACCGTACGTGTCTTACATGTTCATGAGCATTTTCATTGTTGGCTAATATGATCAAGAAGATAAAAGTAATGCAAAAAAAGCCATCCTTCTGTTGCTACCGTTCCTTCAACATCCTGGTTTGCTGGGCAGAGTGACGTAGTTGTAAGCTTGAAGGGTGTGGGTACCATGGCTCCGGTCTGGCGGACTAGCAGACTGGCAGGCGGCTAGACTAGCCTGTACCCAAGTTTGATCCATGATTTTGACCAAAATATTCATGCCATGCCTCTCGTAGTTTCTCTGCAATGTTCCCTGCCAATCTTGACCTATGTAGATCAGGTGGATCAAGTCCCACAAACTTCATGTGTTTTCCGTTCTCTATATTACGGGACGGGCATTGAGGGGAATTCAACTTTACAGGAAAGAGCGGACTAAACACCGATTAATAAAAAGATAGTGCTCTCCACACTTCCATTCGGCTATGTGCCAGACGACATTTGAAAAAGCTATGCTTCCAGAAAGATCATATTGATGAGCTATAATGGACAAAAAAAGGCCAATGCCAGAGACTAGGCTGGTGAACAGTGGCATTAACCATACAGAAGGGCCCGCCAATGGTCAGACACTGTGGGTGTAATCGTCAAGATAAACGAATGCATTCAAGTTGAGACGCATCGCGATCCAGCTGCAATATAGCAGCCGTGTACACGTTGATTGTTTTGGAGTAGAGCTTATATTGGACAGGAAATGGTAGACAGGGGAGCATGGGTATAAGAGAAGGAGGAGCAGCACCAAGATTAAGGAGGATGAGTGCAGTGGGCAAGTAATATCAAGAGGGTACACAATTGCTCCATGTTCAAGATATCAGCTGTGGTTACAGAGGGGAGGTAATTTTTGCAAGCAAGGATGTTCTTTTGGAGCTGTGAGACCTCCTATTATCATTGGGTTCCAGATGATACCCCCAAACCCAGAAACAAACCGGAGAATAACGCAAGACCCACTTTCTTTGGCGATATGCAACAAGGTATAGAACTTTGGGAGAGGAAGCGGGTGTGGCTCCGTTCGCTGCTACGCTGACTCCTCAAATGTGGAGGCCCAGTATTCTGGTTAGGATCTTGAAGTTTCGGTAGACGAATCGTTTTCATCATCCAAGATCCACTTTCGCATCGATTTGCAACAAGGGATCAATGACCTGATAGTTATTGGTGCCGCTGAGGAGGTTGTGTGGTGCTCAGAAAGAGGGGGAGCGGGGAAGAAGCGGAGTCGCATCCCCACAATCTGGTGGAGAAGCTGCCGCGGGTGGTCACGTTGCGTCGACCCACTTAGAGAGAACATATACTGTAACAGAAGTCATAGCATCGAAAGTTCGGGATCCATTATTGCATTAAAACAAGTGCTACAAGGTCGTGAGGTACATGCTAGGCTAAGGACACGAAGCTCAAGCCAAGGTATGAGAGAAGCGAAACCCCATTTTTGGGGAATATAAGAACTCGTCCTCCCTGGCATACGATAAAAAAAACTCCATCATCATTCAAGCTACAGTACGAAATTCAAAATTTTCCGTCTTCACGCTTGGAGAAACCTGGAGCCACTTTGCAGCTTTTTTTTCGGAATACTGCCCGTGATCTTGCCTTACTACCAGAGCGCCGTTGCGATCTTGAGCCTCTTTGGAATTATCCACATCTGGACATGTTTGGATCAAGGCCCTTCAGCAAATCGTTGCACTGTTTTCGAATCAAACATTATATGTTCAAACACTTGATAGGGCCAGGTGGCATGAAGTTTCGCCAGAACCAGCTTGAACAACGAGCCCGTCGGTCCATCTCATTAAAAGCATAGATTTTAGGATTACTGGTAAACTAAACAAGGACGACAAGCTTGCCCCCCCTGCCCCTGCCACGACTTGCAACAAATTCTCATAGCTGTCAAGATGTAAGAACGGCCCTTGGCGCCATGCATTTATTGAATAAAAAGAAGCCTAGTTTCAACCCGCAATCCTGGAATGAGGTAAAGCCAAAAAGCAGAAGGCGGCACCGCAAACATGACAGGGGATAAAAAGACGTGCAACAAAATCAATAACGCCGAATCACAGTCTTCCTATTCCTTGCATTGCTGCTGAGCCAAGGGATGTCGTAGGGGTAGAGCCCAGCTCGAGCCTCACCCCAAGTCAAGAGCTGGCTTGGTCTGGGGACAAGAGTTCTATGCCGTGTAGCAGGGGCCAGTTGGGTGGGAATGCAAGAAAACGACGGAAAGGTGGGAATCCACAGGCTTTTGTGCTGCACGACCACCAGGACTTGAGAGGCTTGCAACTTAGTACTAGGATGGTGACCATCGTGGCCCTGTGAGACGCTTCCAGCTGGCTATTCCAATGCGCTGCGGCAGGGATTTGGAGCCTGGTGTTCAGTAGTTCATAGCTGCAACCCAGAAGCTACTGGGCTATAGCACACTCTGATATGTCAAGGCGGACAAGGCTCTCTGAACCCCTCCACGAGCGCAAAGCGCCTCTGCGAGCCGTCTTTGCGTCGGCGGCTGGGAGAAAGGAGGGATCGGGGCGGCTGGGGCGGGACGAAGCTGAATATTGGCAACCGACCTACCTAGAATTACTGTCTAAATGCATCATTGAATCCAAGTCGCTGTCACCA